TGTGCGAGCCAGCGGAGAGTCCCCACGCCGGCCCGAGGCCAAGCTGAGCCACAGCTGGGCCCGTGGGTGCCGGACCCACCGCACAGGCAAACAGGAAGAGTTCCTTCCTCTGCCCCTGCGCCGGCGACGCCGGATGGGCCAAAGTCCGCGGCTGCCGGGCCGCACTTCCTGCTCCTGGCGGGGAGGAGCGGGGCTGGGGCAGCAGGAGCAGCCCCCCAGCACAGGGGTAACCCCCCCAAAATGGGGTCTAAGCCCCCTGGGGTGAACGGGGGGCTCCGAGCCCAGCCTTGCCACTGTCCCACCTGCAGCCTGGCCAGGGCCAGCGGGCAGGATCCGGCCCCAAGGACCCCACGGAACAGCACCCACAGCCCTTCCCCTGCTGAGAACAGGCAGGTTGTGACACATCTGGGGCCGTGCCCCGGCACCCCTGGCCTCTCCCCCGGGCCTCTCCCCCGGCTGTGGGGGGAGGAAGAAGGGGCTGCCTTTTCTTCCCAGCCTGATTTCCTTAGGAAACAAGGCTGCCGGGGCCAGCCACGCCACAGCCCCGGATCCGGCAGTGCAGCAGAAAGGCCTGGCTGGGGGGTACCCCCCAAATTCACCATCGCAAACAGCCCTGGGAGTGCTGGAAGAGCCTGCACCGGGAGCCCCAAGAGTGGGCTCAGCCCCGTACGAACCACCAGTGATCCCCCTTGGAGCCCTCCAGGGGTTCCCACCGCCATGACCCCCTGCCCGAACCCCTCTGAGCCCAGAGCCCCTGCCAGCACCCACCGGGGCCTCACGTCCTCGTGCCCAGCCAAGGGTGACGGCGGGCGCTGGATGCGGGCGCTGGATGTGGGCGCTCTCCCGGCTCCGGCCGGTTCTGTCGGCGGGTCCCACGGGCTGCAGCCGCCCCAATTCCCCGCTCTGGGGGGTCTCACGCCCCCCACACGCCCTCAGGCCACCCCTGCGATGAGCTGTGTCCGGTCTCAGCCCGGCTGGGCGCTGGGTGGCCCCGGCGAGGGCAGCTTAGGCCCGGCCTGTGCCGGCACTCACAAAATGACTTCCCGGTTGGGAAACCACCGCTCGGCTCTGCGTCACCGGCGGGGTCTGGGGAGGGGGGGCCCATGGCGAGACCCCAGCATTGGGGGTCACCCACTCCAAGGGTGCTCGCTGGGGTTCCCTAAAGCTCGGAAGGGAGACAGGGACACAGTGGGTGAGAGGCCGGGGGTGCCCCAGCTGTGGGACCCCCGGGATGGGGTGGCAAAGGGGGGGTTGAACCGCCTTAGAGTGGGATGGTCATGGCTGCGACCCCGGTCCTAGAAGGACTGAGATCCCCGGGGGTCCTGATAGTGCGGGGGGGGTCCTGATAGGGCTCCGGGGGTCCTGATGGGGTTCGGGAGTCCCAGCAGGGCTTGAGACCCCAGGGAGTCCTGGTGGGTCTGGGGACCCCACAGGTCCAGGCAAAGCTGGGGGGTCCCAGCAGAGCTTGGCACCGTGGTGGTCCTGATGGGGCTGGGGGGTCCTGGTGGGGTTGGGGGGTCCTGGCAGGGCTGGGGGTCTCGGGGGTCCTGGGGGTCCCGGTGGGACTCCCTGGTCCCACCAGGGCTGCAAAGGGGGGTCGTCCTGCCGCCCCTCTCCCGTTCCGGTGCCGCTCCCCGCCTTCCCACGGCGGTTTCGGGGGCCCTTCCGCGGGGTCGCACCCCCGTCCCGTCCCGTCCCGTCCCGTCCCGTCCCGTCCCGGTGGCGGCCCCATTACCTGCCCCGGCGCGGCTGCGGGTCCCGGTGTCCGGTTCGCGGCTGCCCCAGACGTGTTCCGGGGGTCCCGGTGCCGGTGCCTCCCTCCAAGCCTCAGGCGCGTCCCGGGGGTCCCTGTCCCGTTCCCGGTGCCGGTTCGCAGCCCCAGGCGTGGCTCGGGGGTCTCGTTCCCGGTGCCGTTGGCAGCCCCGGGGGTGTCCCGGGGGTCCCGGTGCCGCTCGCAGCCGCAGGGGTGGCCCGGGGGTCCCGCTCCGTGCCCGGTTCGCAGCCCCAGGCGTGGCCCGTGCGGACGCGGCGCAGCTCCCGCCGCCCGCCGCGGCCCCGACCGGGCACAGCGCCCTCCCTTGGGCCCCGCCGGCACTGCAGGGGGGTCCCAGCGGGGCTGGGGGGTCCCCGGAGCCCTGGGGGGTCCCCGGAGCCCTGGGAGCGCTAGGGGTCCCCGCGGTCCCACCGGGGACTGGGGAGTCCTGGGGTGCCAGTACTGGGGGTTCTCGGGGTCCTGGAAGGGCTGGGGGTGCCCAGCAAGACTGCGATCCCCACCAAGTGCTGGTTGTGCTCCCATTTGCCCCCCGAGCCTTATTCCCGCTTTTTCCGTGGATATGCCGGAGCCATTGGGGGACTGAAGCACCCAAAGGCCCTAGGTCCCTTCCTGGAGAGGGACGTGGTAGTTTGGGGTTGTCACCCGTGAGCCACCGCTCTGAGCAGGTGACAGAGACCCCGAAGAGAAGCACATGGGTGACATCCAGCTCCCTGTGGAGCTGCTCAGCCAAGCTGCCCCCCAAGGCCTGGGGGAACCCCAAAACCAGCAGCTCGACCCCTTGGAGGGACCCACATCCTGCCATCATCCCCAGTTGGAATTTTCCCGCTGCCGGGTGCTGGTGGGGCCGAGCTGAGCCTGAGGGTCTATTTTGGAGCAGCAACGTGGGATCCTCTTGGGCCATGACAGCAGAGGGGAGGAGGAGGAGGAGGAGGAGGCAGAAATAGCCTGGCTGCAGGCCGAGTGCTGGCACAACCAGCTGCACACAGGGAACCAGGGAATGGGGAGGAAAAGGGAGGAAAAAAACCCTAAAGCCCTGAAGGAATGTTGATCTCAGGCAAAGCCCAGGGAGAGGAGGGCAAGAGCTCACCTCTTAGGGCTGTGGATCTGGCCTGTGCCCCTCCCAAAAAGGGTTTTTTGGGTGCCAGGGCAGGAGATTCCCTGGTCTGAGGGGTTGCATTGGGGTTTTCTTCACTGTCCCTCTGACGCTGGATCAGCCCAGGGTGGGAACTGGGGGCAGCAGAGGTGCCCCCTCCCCGGTTTGCAGCCCCCCCCCTCAGCCCTGGCACTGATGCCAGCTTTGGGTGTCTCCCTCCATTTCCAGCTCCACGTCTGCCTTCGGACACAAAGCCGGGATATTTTTGCCGTGTGGCCTCAGGACCAAATACTCACAGTCTCAGCCATCAGAAAAAACGCCTTTTCCAGGTTTTTTTGGAACCAAATGTCCCCGTACCCTCCCAAGGTTTTGGGGGTACCCAGCACCTGTTCCTCTGCCTGCAGGTAAAGGAAATATTTGTCACCTCCACGGAGAGCGAAAACGCCCCGTTATCCCCCCACTCCAAAAAAAAAACCCCCAATCACAGCTGAAGGTTTCAGGAGCCATCTGGGAATTTGACATCTCCTTATCTCGGGGGGTCCAGCGCGCAGGATCCCCCCCGAGCCTCCGCCCCCGCCGTCCTCCCCCTCCCCGGCGCGGGTGGGAGCCGCTGACTCATCTGCCACCATCATCATCCCCCCCTCCCCGAGGAGGGCGATCCGAGGGGCTGCATTGCAGACCCAGCCGCGCCCGCAGACAAAAGCCACGCCGCAAAGCTCCCGCGGCTCCCCCGGCACTCAGAGCACCGAGAGCATCACCCCGCCAGCCGGCCCGCACAGGTAAGGGATGCGGCCAGGAGGGACGGACACCAAAGAGGATGCTCTTTTTGGCTGGTTTGGGTTTTTTTTTTTTTTTCGGAAGAGATTTGGGTGGAAGGGGGTGGTGTTGGAGTGTTATTTTCTCGGGGGAAATAAGTAACAGCCAGAGGGGATTTGAGAGGATAAAAGGTGGTTTTGCTTCCATGGGATGAGCAGACCCCGCTGATCCCGTGCGAAACGCTCTTTCTTAGGGGTGACACGCGACACGGGAGGGCTTTTCCCCCACATTTGTTCCCTTTTATATTGAATTGATATATTTGAATATATTTGAATATTTTACTTGTCACTTAACTCCCTTAACCCCCCCATGTCACTAAATTCCCTTTTACCCCCTCTTGTCCCTAAATTCCATTTTTCTCCCCTTTGAAGCCTTAAAATCCATGTCCACAACACCCATCACCATTAAAATAATTCGCTGCTGTTGTGCAGCAAGGAACCCAGGGGTGGATCCCCAGGGACCCATCCCCAGGGATAAATCCCTAGGGAAGAGACCCTTTGGAAGCCCCGTGGCTCGGTTTCCCCTGAAGGAGTGGCACAGGAGCCTTTCGTTGCCTCAGAGTGGCATTGGGAATCTCAAATTTAGCAGCTGCTCATCAGCACAGACAGGGCACGGCCCGAGGTATGCCTGAGTCATCTTTGGAATTCTGCTTTCCATGGCTTAAAGCAGGGGGAAAAGCGGGGAAAAGGAGGCTGTGTTGGGTTATTCTGATTTTTCCCCACCTCCAACTGAGGTGAGTGACATAATCCTGCCAGGGAAAAGCCAGGCAGTGACTCAGCTGATCCGTCTCCTCCTGCTCTTTCCCACTCCTCGGTGGATCGGGGCGGGGCTGCGGGGGGAATTCAGCATGGCAGGGATGGGTGGGGTGTGCTGGGAATACCGAGCCATGCTGCTTCCAGCCTTTTCCAGAGGGTTCTGGCACAGCCCCCGGGCGATGCAGTGGAGGGGGGGACGTGCAGGGACCCCCCCTCATTGCCCGGCACGGGGAAAGGGAGAGACCCTTGTGTGCAGTCTCATGGAAATCCAGGTCGTTGGGATGCTGTTTTCCCTCCCTCCCAGCAGAGCAGGACGTGGGGGACACCCCAGAAGGGATTTCAGGAGGAGCAGGTCCCCAGCCTGTCCTTCCCTCCCGGGCTTTGTTTGGATGGGGGCTGCGACCCAGGCCGTGGGTAAAGCTTTGGCAGGGCTCAGATCTGCAGTTGGGCCCGGCCTGGAGTCCAACCTGCACAACCCCATGCTCTCCCCAGCCAGCAGACTGATTCTGGGGGGTGTCTCATGGGGCTGAGTCAATGTGGGCAACACCTGAGATTTTCAGCCACTTGGAGGCCGCTGCTGAGTGCTGGTCGAGCTTTTCCCCCCCTGTCCTCTCGCCCTGCCCCTCCAGAGCGCCAGGATGCTGGACACCATGAGCAGCCAGTACGACTCCTTCATCTACTGGAGGATGCCGATCCCGAGGCTGGACGTGGCGGAGCTGGAGGGGCTGGGGCTCGCAGACATGGCCCTCTACAAGCCCAAGGCAGGGCTGGGCCAGCGGGAGCGGCTCAGCCAGGACCTGTCCCCGGAGGAGGAGGACACCCTGCTGCCGTTCAACACCTTCAACTTCTGGCGGGCTCCCATCGCCAGCATCAGCTCCTTAGATTTCGATCTAATCTGAAGCCCTCCCTGCCCCTCCTCACCCCTCCCTGCTCTCCCCCTCTCCGCCAGGGTTTGGTTTTCTCGTCACTTGGGGGGTTGTCGGGTTGGTTTTTGTTCGTTTCTGGGCGGTTCTGCCATCGCTAATTAACTCAGCAGTTCACCGTGGGCTCGAGGCTGATGGGCTCCCCGAAAAACCTCCAGCCCCACCCCACTCCTCCCCCTTTCCCTCCCTTCTTGGCGCTGGAATCGCAACGGTGCAAGGAGGGGGGAACGACACCGGGGGGCAAATACGAGGGGAGGGGGCAGAAAGAGCCCCCCCTGCTGCCCCTCTCCATGTCTGGGAGGTCCTGGGGGGTGTTGGTGTGACCGTGGGTGTCCCCGCCCTGTGTGACACGTTTTCACCTCATTCCTCCCGTGCTGTTTTAAGAACACTCATTTGTGCAGTCGGGGCGGTGGGAATTGATCCTCTGCGTTCCCCTGACCCAGTTTCTCCCAAATCTGCCTCATTCCTTACCCTTCCCCTCAGGAATTCGAGGTGGAAGAGGCAGGGATGTGCCCAGGGTACCAGCTTGAGCCCAAGCAGAAAAAAATGATGTCCAGGAGGGTAAATACACATGGAAATGCTCTGACCTTGCTGGGTGGGGTCAAGGCTGGGCGTCCACTGCCTCAAATTTGATTTTTTTCTTTCATCTTTTTATGCCTCATGTGCTTTATTCCCGGTGTGGCTCCTGGCTGGGGCAGACACCAGGCACATCGTGGGGTCTGTGACAGGGGCTGAGCTGAAAGAGAAGATGGAGAATTTAGTTCGATCCTCCCCCCAGATGGAAATATTTCAGATTTCCTACCCAATTAATCAACCACTTTAAAAACAACCAAAAAATGCTGCATTTGCTCAAGTGGAAGCCTTGAGTTTTCTTCGGGGAGATTTTTCACCTGCTGAGGTTTATTTCTGAGCATCATCTCAAAATGGGGGGAAGAAAAACCCAATTTAAACAGTTATTTCCACCCCCCCTAAGATTGTTTTTCTGGGATTGGTTTGTCTTCTTGAGTGTGCTTTTTTTGGGTTTGATTGGGGTGAAGTGATGTGGAGCATCCCAAAATTGTCCTGAGAGCTGGGGGGTTACGTGGCTGGGGGCAGGCCGAGGCAGCACTTCGAAAGTGCCACAAATAGGCAGAAGTTGGAAAAAAAAAATCTGCATTCTACTGTGAAAATGGAATGCAGCTCTCCTGTAATCTCCAGAAATAACCAAGTGTGCTGATTTTGAACCATCCATGTAAAAACAGAGGTGAAAAATGTGAATTCTCCTCTACAGAGTTGTTTGACTTCTGTGTTCCCAGCTGGGAAAACCTGCAGGAGAAGTATTTATTACGAACCTTAAATAAAATCGGCTAAAAACATACACATTCCTGTGGACATGTAAACTGGCACCAAGTTCTGTGGATTTAAGTTGTTTTAAATCTTTTTATGGTGAGCTGAGAACTGACCCCTGTGTCTTTGCTGTGGAGGACTTAGGTGTGGAAAAGCTAAGCCTAAAGGATTAATTTAAGAACATTAAGGATATTATTTACACTTCAGCTTTTACAAGCCCCACAGGAAAACACCCCAGGGAAGAAGGAGGCCCCAGACTCCCGAATTTACCGCAAAAAAGGGCATTTTGAGTGGGCCAGGGGCACCTGAGAGTGAGGAGAGGGGGGTCCAGCATGCTGAGGGGGCCTCAATCTTAAGAAACTCAGAGGGGACTGATACACACATATGTATATCTAAATATACATGTACATTTATTGACACTGACCTATCGAGGGGCCCAGGGCTCTGTAAAACACCAAACTCCCCACTCGCCTCAGGGAGGCGCCGCCGCCATTTTATATTTGGCGCCAAAAGGCCCCTGAGGGAACTACCCGTAAGATCACACCCTCTGCGTATTGATATCCTTCCGCCAGAGAAAAATACTCCCCTCCAGGGCTCCCCCGTCACCCGACGGGGGCGGGGGGAAGGTGACGGAGAAAAGAAGGAGAAATTCTCAAATTCCACACAAATTCCTCCGAGACAGAACGCGGGGAGGGCCAGCCCGCCCTTCCTCCTCCGCCGGCGCGGCGCGGACTCTTTTATCGCCGCTGAGTTATCCTTCCGCCACCACCGCCTCCCGGTCTGGCAGCCGGGGCCGCCATTTTGTGAGGCCGCGCGAAAGGGGCGGGAGCGGCGGCGAAAGGGGCGGACCCGAGAGCTGTGGGAGTGGGGCCGGGGCGGACTGAGGGGACTGCGGGAGAGCCCTCCGTGAGGGGGTTCAGGGGACCCTCTGTAGGGGGTGGTCTTGGGGGTCTGAGGAGGGGGGACCCCCATGAGGGAAGGGGATGGGGGGACCCTCTGAGAGGGATGATCTTGGGCATCTGAGGCTGGGGAATCACTGTGAGGGGGTTCAGGGGACCCCTCCGTGAAGGAGGAGTTTGGGGGACCTACAGAGGGGGGCGATCTTGGGGTACTGAGGAGGGGGATCTCCCATGAGGGAAGGGGTTGGGGGACCCTCTGTGAGGGAGGTCTTGGGGGTCTGAGGAGGGGGCACCCCCGTGGGATGGTTCAGGGCCCATGACAGGAGTTGGAACGAGATGATTTTTAAAGGTCCCTTCCAACTGATACCGTTGAATGCTTCCAAGGATGCTAAATGCCAGGGGAAGAGTGGCATATGTATCCCTGATCCCACTGTTTCCCAGGAAACGCTGCAGAACCAGGTGGAGACTCATCCGCAGAGAACAAACCCCAGCACCGTGGCTCTCACCTCACCCTTCATTCTCACCGCTCTCATCCCTTCAGCAGGCGCCAAAACCACCTCAGGTAAGGTTTTGTGGTGCCTTGAGGGGGAAAATCTTGGGGGAAAAAAAAAAAAATCTAGTGTCCCTCACCAACCAGTAGAGGGCAGATGGATATTTAGTAAAGAGAAAGCACTGAAATGCAGCCAAACACGCCCAGCTGCTGCTTCCTGCCCCGGGATGTTTTTACCACGGGAGGTAACAGAGGAGATTCCTACAACTGGTGTAAACAGAGGTGGTTCCAGTGCTGCTGAGGGGCTGCTCACTTCACTGCAGGTTTTGAGTGAGTGTTTTGCTGTTTTAGACCTTCTCCTGGTGGGAATTCAGCCCTTTGGTCGGAATAGTTTTCCCTTTTTCCATCCCTTTGGTGTGGAAATCGATCTCATTCCCTCTCTGCCTCTGTTTCACTTTGGTCCACTTGTCTGGTGGATCCCTCTTGAGTCCGGTGGATCCCTCTAAGTCCCTTGGATCCACGAGTCCCTCGGATCCATCCAGGCTCTGTGGCTGAACAGGATCTCCTTGCAAATCCCCACCTCTCCTTTCCGTAATCCCCTTTTCCAGTGCCACCACATGCCACCCCCACACGTGGGACTGCCTAAGATATCCCAGGATTTTCCCTCTAAGACAGTTCCAACGTCAGTCAGAGCTTGGAAACGACCCGTGTTGGGCCTTGTCAGGAGGAATTTCTTATTTCCCAGGAGATGGCATCAGTAACCACCCTAATCTCAACAAAAATCCCCAATTTGACACTCCCAGATAATGATTTTCCCTTCTGTCTCTTCTGTTTTTGAGTAGGAACAAGGACCTTCAGCTGGGCTGAAGGTTGTGAGGTGCTGAAGTCTCTAAGCCTGTGGTGTTTTCACCTGCCAGACCAAGTATTGTATGAAAATAAACCTGATAAACTGGGTAAAATCAGGTGAAAAAGAGAGAAAACGGCTTGCAAGGGTTAAATCAGGAGAACTTTAGGTGAACTTCCCTCTATGTGCTCATAATCTCTTCATCTACGCTGGCCATGAGGAACAGGATCTCTTTTTTTCCCCTTTTTTAAAGAGGAATTGTGGGTTCCCCGCACTGAGCTTGCGCCCATTTAGGTAATTTCCTGCTCCATTCTCCCCAGGTCTGCGTTGAATGGGAGCTACTGCGGTCAATTGGAGGAAGAAACATTGTTTTTGGGTTTGTTTATCTCGTTTGGATCCGTGTGCCCCGCAGGGGACCTGTTTTTGCAGTCAGGGGGGAGCAGGGAGGGCCCTGCTGAAATCCAGTGGCCAAGCCGGGCAGCAAAGGGGCTGAGAGGGGCCTTATTTCAGGGAAGGCAGATGATAATAATAAATACTTGGGTTATTTATTTATTTATTTAATCACAGTAGAGACTAAATAAAACGACCAGCGGTGGATCCCAAAGGAAATAAGTGGATTTTTATTAACCACCGTGTTTGGACACCACTCTTTGTTGTCCTTGATGTACTTTAACAGCCATTTAAAAAATAACTAAGGAACGTGGAAGCCCAGGCCTGCAGGACGGGGCTTGACTTTAACGAACAAACCCCAATAAATAGTTTGGAATTAATTCATTTCCGATCTTTTTGGGGCTCTGGTAATTTGTTCTCGGAGAAGGGTTTGTGTTGTCTGGTTTGTGTTTTTTCTTTAATCATCTCTTATGCTGTGCCTGACCTTTAATTAACTCCCAATTTGGGAGTTTGATAAAGTGGAGGTTTATCTAATCCCTTCACTTCCCAGTTCCGTTCCTTTCCCCGAAGCCAAGCACTCTTTTCCTGCCATCCAGAGACAAGTCATTTAAATTCTTGAGGCTGCTGGTGCCACCCCGCTGATTCCTTGACCTGTGGTGCTGGAGTGTTTTCCTGTCTGGCACCAGCAGCGGGTCAGATCCCGGTTTCCTGCGCTGGGAGCAGGATGCAGCCAAGGGAAGGGCCATGGAAGGAAGCTTTGCAGAGCCAGGGCTGCTCAGCAGCTGCCTCCAGCTCCAGGGTGCTTGGTTTGCGGGCTGGTCCTTAGGAATTCACACAAAACAAACCCATGAGGGTTGGAAAAGACCTGCAGGGTCGCCCACCCGACCTTCAGATGGACCTGGTGCTCTCTGGGGAGTGTTTTGGACCTTCAGACCGTGCTGGTTTTACCCCAAAATCCCGGTTCTGCTGAGGTGCAGGGACGTTGTTTTCTTTTTCCTGCCGGCACTTGCTGCGTTCCCACATTGTTTGCCGTGATCCCAGGAGCCTCCAGCCGCACACTCGAGCTTTTCCCTTCGCTTTCTATTCCAGGAAGAGAGAAGGAAACCCTGGCTCTGCTCTCTTGGCGTTTGCTTTCTTCCCCGAGGTGGGACGGGGGAAGTGCTGGGAGCAGAAGGCTCTGTGGGTTCTGCCCACCCTGGGGCTGGTGGCGTGTCCTTGTCACCGTCCCTGGAGCAGCCTCCCAGCACCCTCACCTTTGGGATGCAGTCCCAAAGGGAGACATCCCAGCTGCCCGTCACTCCCGTTGGGGCTGTGGCTGCTGCTGGGTTAACCGTGCCCGGGAATTCCGGGTGACTGGGGGTGGTGAAATCACCCTGCCACGGTTTGTTTGTTCCCTGAGAACCCAACGCCCTCGGGAGCAGAAATGCCAAGTGGGCCCTTGGCAGGGACTGTTCTGTCCTGTCCCAGCCTGGGAGTAAATCCCTGAACCGATGAAACCACGGCCAGAATCATCCCGGAATTGATCCCAAACTTGATTAACTTTGGGGCAGGAAAAGAGAATTAGGAAGCAGAGCAGCTCTTTAACAC